AAAAAAAAAAACAAAACAAGACATGTCATATCTAACTAAGTTTATTTGAATACAAGAAACTTATAAGTTAACCAAATAATATATAAATCAACTTATCTGATTATCAAACATAGTTGTTGTACTGTAGCTCAAGTGGTTTCATTAATTTTCCTTTTTATGAATAATTTTCTAGAAAGAAGAAAAAAACATTGCGTTGTTTTTTATGAAGTTGATTTAATTAGCTAGAAAAATTGAATTATGGCTTTTGATTAATCGATTATTTAATTTAATTATTGATAGAATATTGAACTATAAATTTTAATTAATTTAGCATATATAGTTTTGTTTGACAATTAGCAAATTGAATTATCAGTTTTGATTAGCTCAATTTATTTGAAAATTTGCAGATAGCGAATAGTTGATTTAATTAAAACTTATTGAATTGTCCGCTTTTACAATTGCTTTTTTAATTGTTATTTGGTACAAATGTAAAACTATAATCAAAAGTAGACGATAATGTTTTTCCAAAATTAATATTTTTGGGATAAAAAAACTGTTTTAAATAGTTACTAACAAACAGATCTCATGTCTCATGTCTCTATTTTTATGTTAAATAACTTTTTGCTTTTTATTTATTCATATGCTATAATTTTATTTTGTAATATTTTAATATTAAAATTGTACATATGAATAAAACATTAACACATCTTTTTTCAACATAATGCACACCTTCCATTTAACAAATTTATATATAATAGAAAAATATGTGGTAAAGTATTGGACGAACAAGGATTAACACAAAGAAAATATTTTCAATGGCCTACATTATAAATTAAAAATTCTCTTGAATGTTAGTTAATATTTTAGTAAATTCGTAATATTTTAGTAAACATTTGATACATGTTTTAGTAAATAATATAATCTCTATATAAATATTGTTGTACTATTTATATTATTAATTATATAATGATAATAATTTAAATAATTACATGTGTAAAATATATCTAATTATATTACATAAATGATATTAAAATAAATTAAATAATGAGAATAAAAAGAAAATATTTCGTTGAGTAAAATATAGCGCAAACGGTTAGAGACAAAACTTAATTTTGTTTCAACATACTCTAAAATAGAATAAACTCTGCAATAAAGTAGAGATAATGGTCGGAGATGTGGCTTAATAAGTTGGCAACAAACAACGATATATCTTGCTTTTTCAGCCACTACAGTTCAATTGTTACAATTATGTTTGACAATAAAGTCAAGGTTAAAAATTATAATTATGGAGACTTAAGTTAAATGTGATGTAGCTTTCATTTATGAGTAGAACATGCTGTATTATTCCACTTTTATTTTTTGTTCACATTTCTTTTTACCCTTTTACAAAATTACTCAAATATACAGTGATTAGTGAAATTTTGTTTACTTTTTTTTTTTTTGGCTGTTTGCTTAAGAGAAAGTCACGAGAATCATCTATGGGACTGTCACTTTCGACTTGGGAAAGTTTCTTGTTTTGGTGCCCCAATTTATATTTCCTTATTTGTAAATTCAAAATATTTTTTTAATGCATAACTTTCACTTTTAAAACAAAAAAAAATAAAAATAGTTCAATAAAAATATATTATCAGCTATTTCTTTTAAAATATTATCACTGATAATTGTTCATTTGGCTTTAAATTTATACTACCTCCTATTTTTAATATATGTCGTTTTGAGAAGTTGCACACTAATTAAGAATATTTTTTTTGTCAATAATAACCTTATTAAATGAAGATAGAAATGAATGTTTTGAGAAAAAGTGAAGAGTAAATATGAAAAGACGTAATGTATTTATTGGCTAAATGAGGGTAATAATGGAAAAATATGTACAAAATATCCAAAACGACATTTATTTGGCAAATAGTTGAAAAAACTAGAATGACATTTAAAAAAAATAGGAGGGAGTATTTTACAACTACCATTTTATTCTATTAATGAGCGACATATGTATAATTGTAATATTATCATTTACATGTGTCATTCAATCGATAAAATTGAATATAAATCATTACATAGAACTCATGCATGTTTCATCGACTATAGATCATTGTTTTTTTATATTTGTCCATAAATAAATAATAATAATAATAATAAAAAAGAAATATTAAGTTAATTGCCAATTTTGCTATCTACAAATTAACAACGATGTGTGTCGAAACCAACAAAAACAAACATCATTTATTGGAGCAGGGGCGGAGCTACATGTATTTATACCCGACTGAAGCCCGGGTGGCTTAATTCCACAAATTTTATTTAATTCATGTCCGGATGGCTTCTACAAGTTTAGCCCGGGTGACTTCAACCCGAGTAGCTGTAGTCCGAGAATATTTTGAATCCTAGTTCCGCCTCTGATTGGAGTATCTGATTATATATGATCATGTTATTAGTGTGTTTTAGTTAAAATGCTTGTTCTTGATGTGTGATGTAAGTCTTTTTGAACGTTATGATCATGGCAAAAATAAGAATCTAACCGTTGAAATTGAACCCAATTTTTTGTTAATTAAGTGGATAGTCCCATCAAACCAGTTGTATTTCATTTTCCACTTTATTTTGTTCAGTGATAGTCATTGTAGTTTTATAGCTACTCATGTTTTCAAGCCATTTATTTATAAATCATATTAATTTATTTTATGTCAATTTGATACGTGAAAAATGAATGCATACAATTTAAAATTAAATGATAGCATGTGAAATAATAATTAGCAGACATATATTTCATTATAGGATGGTTTAATTAATTTAATTAGAACTTGGGCTTCATTTTAATTCACTGAGATTTATTTTTAACTTAATTTATTTCATTATTCCTAGTAATTGGCACCACATGTTAAATACAATGAGCAACTTAAATATATAGTTCATAAAGTCAGCAATATGGGATCATAGTTATAGCTGGCTATTAGTATATAGTAGTATATAATAAATAATAGTAGTAGTAAATTTTAAGCAAACGTGTCATCAATTTAAGAATACTAACTTCTGGAAAAATAACCAATAATATGATTTTATTACATGGCATTAGTAAAAATGAATATAGTTGGTATGTGCATGTGATTTTGTGTATGGATTTTAGTAATATCTCTCCCTATATATTAATTCAAAACGTGTTGAGCCTAGGTGACAGATTCTCACGCTTCGGATGCTGACATGGCGAAAATCTATGCTTCGTGATATTATTTTTATTTTATTTTTGCTTTGTAGTTCGATTTGGTATTATACATAAATAACAATTCATCATCTCAATAGCCATGTTGTACATGGGTATTAGTACTAGTTTGCTATTATTTATTAATGTTTACTTGAAAAATAAAAGAAAACATATGTGGACACAATTTTCTTGATTTAAAGTTTGAATTAAATTTGATAATTTTTTTATGTTAAAACTATTATTTCCTTACAAGAAATAACCGATGATGTCAAATTGAAAAAAGAAATTCAATGTCAAATTACATTTTCTATTTGATTTATTTTATTTTCTTAAGAAAAGTCTAAGCTTCAATTCATTTTTTGTCTTGTTCTTCCCAACTTCAAGTAAGGTTTTCAATCAATACAAATAAAATAAAATAAAAATAAATGGAATGGTGGTGATGGTTTATTTGGTGGGGTTAAAAGTGACAATTGAATTAAAAAAAATAAAACAAAACAATGAATAAATTATCATGTAATTTGTGATGTCATTGAAACATCAAATACAAGGACATTTAAATAGCTGTATTTTTATAAAGTATTGTTGATGATTTATCTTAAAGGGAAAAAATT